TTTATCATCAGGTACTCCATTAAGGACCAAAACTGCATAAGTGTTCGGACTGTTGGAAAAGTTTCATACAGAGGGCTGACTTTCTTAAACATCAGACAATTCACGAAGGAGAGAGACCCCATAAATGTCTGTACCGTGGGGAAAGTTTCAGACAGAGATCACATCTCACTAAACATGGGAGAATCCACTCAAGATCTAAACTTCTGTCACACATGACAAGAAAGGGTTAAGCAAGTTGCAGGTTAATTGACTCAATTTCAACCTTTAGAGGCATGTTAGAGAAGTGTGTAAATGGCAGTTAGGGCCATTTTACATTAGGTAAGGTAGAGTTTGAACTGTTCACTTGTATTGTTAAAGACTCGGATGAAGATGTTGTTAGATGATTGACAATGTAACCGAACGGTTCCTGTCGCCTGTTAATTCCGAGATCAAAAGGAAATATTAATATTTAGAAGAAACTTTGGTGCAATAATGTCTTTGTCTGTCTCTTTAAAGTTTGTGGTAAATCGTCTATGAACTACTTTATGGATAGTTATTTTATGTTAATCCCATATAATTAATTACCAGTGATGTTTAGGAAATAGAAGGTTATTTCACTAGCCTATTGTTCATCCAAAGACTGTGTGCTGTTGAGAGGCTGCAAAAATCCATCCTAAAACTCTTGGGACCTGATCATTTTATCTCAGATCTTCATTGGTCACAACTTCAGAACTGTGGGAAAAGTTTCATTCAGCCATTGCACCTCATTAAATATCAGAGAATCCATGAAGGATCAACACCAACTAAATTATCCCAGCCAGGGCTTTGTGAAACCAGGCCTTAAAAACCTTTAATGATGAAGATTCAACCACCTCCCTAGGTAACAGTGCTTCACCACCCTCCTAGTGAAACAGTGTTTCCTGATATCCAACCTAAACCTCCCTCACTGCAACTTGAGACTATTCCTCCTTGTTCTGTCATCTGTCCCCACTGAAAACAGCCAAGCTCCATCCTCTTTGGAATCCCCCTTCAGGTAGTTGAAGGCAGGAGCGGCGCAAGGGTTTTTGCCACCCTAGGTGGGGGTCCTTCCGCACTCCCGGTCTTCGGTGGCAATTCTGCGGCAGGGGGTCCTTCCGCGCTCCCGGTCTTCGGGGCACTTCGGCGGCAGGTCCCGGAGCGAGTGAAGGACCCACCGCAGAATTGTCACCGAAGACCCAGAGAACGGAAGGACACCCCGCCGCAGAATTGCCACCAAGGGTAGCAAAATGTCACCCCCCAAATCCTGATGCCCTAGGCGACCACCTAGGTTGCCTAAATGGAAGCGCTGGCCCTGGTTGAAGGCTGTTATCAAATCTCCCCCCTCACCCTGCCCCACTCTTCTCTAAATAAGGCCAGTTCCCTCAGCCTCTCCTCGTAAGTCATCTGCCCCAGCCCCCTAATTGTTTACGTTGCCCTCCACTGGATTCTCTCCAATTTGTCCACATCCTTTCTGTCACAGGGGGCCCAAAACTGGATGCAATACTCCAGATGTGCCCTCACCAGTGCTGAATAGAGGGGAATAATCATTTCCCTTGATCTGCTGGCCAGGGGCGGCTCTATGGTTTTTGCCGCCCCAAGCACGGCAGTCAGGCGGCTTCCGCTGGCCACACAGATTTGGCAGCATGCCTGCAGGAGGTCCACCAGTGCCGTGCCTTCAGCGTCCCTGCCGCTGAATTACTGCCGAAGCTGCGGGACCGGCAGACCTCCTGCAGGCATGCCGCCGAAGGCAGCCTGACGGCTGCCCTCACAGCAACCAGCAGGCTGCCCCCCACGGGTTGCCACCCCAGGCACACAGTTGCTGCGCTGGTGCCTGGAGCCGCCGCTGGACTTGGCCTGTGTAGCTGGACCTGAAATCTAAAGGGCCATCAATGACACTGCGCGTTGGGATCATTTTGAACCAAAAGCACAGTAGGATATTAAAAGGACTTTTTTTCCTCCTTTTTGGCTGCTTGGAAAGCAAGGAGGGTTTTTTTTAAGGATTTATTTTTTAAGCTGTGAGCAGCTGGAGTTTTTTTCTCTGCCTGAGGGCATGGTAGTTAACTTCCTGCAGGGGAATTCACAAGTCATTTTTTTTTCTTGCTAGCTCTCGGGTTAAGCTAGGTTAAGCACAGGAAGGCTAGGATGATGGACAGTGAAGTCCAAAAGAAATTAGAATGAGCCAGAGTCGAAGCTGAAGAGAGACAAAAAGAACATGGTAGACAGATGGCCTTAAGGCGCTTGGAGATGGAGGCAGAAAAAGCCAGGGTGGAGGCAGAAGAAGCTGCCCACAAGAGAGTCCTGGAGGATAAAGAAAGAGAGAGGAAGCATGAACTGGAGTTAGAGATGGCGAGGGCTAAGCAGAATATACCAGACAACCCTAGCAATCCTTCTCCAGGTACCGCTTCCCATCCCAGAAAGTTCCCCACCTACAAGGCAGGCGATGATACAGAGACCTTCTTAGAACATTTAGAAAGGACCTGCTTTGGGTACAGCATCTCTACAGACCAGTATATGGTGGTGCTGAGGCCGCAGTTCAGTGGACCCTTAGCAGAGGTGGCAGCTGAAACGCCTAAGGAACACATGAACAGCTACGAACTTTTTAAAAACAAGGCCAGAATTAGAATGGGGCTAACACCCGAGCATGCCCGTCGGTGGTTCAGAGCCCTAAGGTGGAACCAGATGTGACATTTTCCCGACACTCCTACCACATTGTAAAAAATTGTGATGCCTGGATATCAGGAGCAAGTGTTAAATCTCTGGAAGACTTGTCTTTCCTAATGCAAATGGAGCAGTTCTTGGAGGGTGTTCCTGAGGAAATAGAAAGATATATCCTAGATGGGAAGCCAAAAACTGTAATCAAGGCGAGGGAGATTGGAACCAAATGGGTGGAGGTGGCAGAAAAGAAAAAAACTAGTAGCAGTTGGAGCGAATATCAGATGGGGCAACCTGAAACAAAACCCTACCACCGGGGGCAGCCCAAGGCCCCACCTACAACCCAAGGAAAATCCCAAACCCCTTATCGTCCCACCACACCAGTCTCCAGCAACCCACCTTGCCCCAGTGACCAGTCAGCTGGGAGATGTTTTAAATGTAATGAGCTGGGGCATATAAAGGCCAACTGCCCCAAGAACCCCAACAGATTGTAGTTCATTACACCAGAATCACACCAAAGGTCCCCAGGCCCAGATGCCTCCCAGATACCCTCAGAGCGAAGGGAAACCGTGAGTGTGGGCGGGAAGAAGGTTAGCACGTGGAGGGACACTGGAGCACAAGTGTCAGCTATCCACCAATCCTTAGTGGACTCCAAATTCATCAACCCAGAGGCCCCGGTGATGATTCAACCCTTCATGTCAAACTCTCTAAACTTGCCTACAGCCAAGCTGCCTGTCCAGTACAAGGGCTGGTCAGGAATGTGGACTTTTGCAGTCTATGATGATTATCCCATTCCCATGTAACACCAGTGCATGTAGAATGGTGAGATTTGAAGGTGTTTGTTGCTAGGCTGACCATATTCCAGGTGCCCCAAAACAGGACACAGATGGGGGGTAGGAGCTGGCAGGGGGGTAGAGTTAGGGGTGATGTAGGGGTGCGGTGGGGGTACTCATGAGGTGAGGGTAGTGTTGGCTGCTGTCACAGTGGCAAGGCGGTGGCAACACCTGTCAGTCAGCACTGACCTGCGGGACCCAATCCCCAGGGCTGGGAGCCTGGGCCTGGGTGGGCGGGATCCAGCAGCAATCAATCAGCTGTGAATGTAGGGGAATGGACAAATCAGCTGTGGGTGCAAGTGAATGGACTAATCGGGAAGCTGACCAATCAGGGCTATTTCTGAGCAGCAGTGTGTCTGCTCTGCAACTCCTACAGCCCCCCAGATATTTGCTGTTATGGGAAAACCCGGCTCGGCAGGCTCAGAAAAGAGGATCTGTCGGGAAAAACCCAGACATATGTTAAAGTTTTTGTTACTGAAATATGTCATAGTTCTGGGGATTGTCCCACTCAAACTCCTCAGAGATGACAAAGGACAAACCCTTGGTGTTAGAAAACTCTTATCTGGCCGTCCATCACCAACAGAAAGAAGGGGGTAAACAAAGAAACAAAGAAATGTATAATTCACCTGAAGGATGCTTTGGAGCTCACACACACCTTGAAGTTGCCTGACCCCATGACTGTTGGTCCCTTACTGAAACTTAGTGGTGTTTTTTCGGTTGGTTTCTCCCAGTACCAAAAGACAGGAAGGGCCAATGAGAAATAAAGACCCTGAGAGTAGTCCCCAGGGCCAATGGGGAGAGACCAAGGCTCTAGGTCAGCCTGGTTGACAGGACAGGCAGGCCAATGAAGGAGTCAGTAGCCTGTCCTCTGTGTGAGCTGGAGCTGCCTGCCAGAGAAGGGCAGAGATAAGGGGAGAGCAGCAGCCTGAGCTGGGCTGGAGGCAGAGCAGCAAAACCACTGAGGCAGAGGGAAGCTGGGACTGGAGCAGTCCGGAGCTGGGTGCCGTGAGCAGCTGGGGAGAGCGAGGGGAGACCCTGGGCAGTGTGGGATGACATCATGTTTTCCTTTCCCCTTTTTTCTTTTTCTTTTTTATTACTTGCTGTTTAATAAATTGTGTTTGTTCTGAACTCTGTGCAATCAGGGAAGCGTCCAGAGTGAAGAGAGCACCCCAGACTTGTGATATGAAACCCTAGCCTCTGTCCTGAGTGATCACAAGATTCGGGGTGAAGCCCCCTGAGAAATCCTGGGCCCAGCCTTGTTGGGGCTTCAGGGACTAGAGTCGAAGGGGAGTCCTCGAGGTTAGGCAGGCCTAGGGGTAAAAGGAGTGGGAGCGAGGACTCAGATCATTCTGCAATTCGATTCCATGGAGGTGGTGTATAAGCCAGTAATAGTAGGACCGTTCCCCTGCTTAACTCTGTGCATATTTATTGGTCTCTCCTAAAATTAATTCGGATTATAGGGAAAGTGTCAGAGCGGCCACCAGCGGGAGTTGCTGGCAATACTCTGAGGCCACCAAATTTGGTCCTTAGAATCCCTGGGCTAGATGCTCATGATGGGCCCTTCTGACCTTAACGTCTGTGAGTGGAACAGGGGTCGGACACAGAGATGCTGTAGATCGGTGGGTTTATCGCTAGGACCCAGGAGCAGCTGGGAGGCGGCTCTGGGGGGAGCGATCGCTGG